TCCTCTACTTTATATGGGACGCCGCCACAGCGTGGCTTGATAAGCAATGCATATGTCCGTGCCCAGGGTCTGAACCCGCAAATCCCAGGCCGCCAAAGCAGAGCGTGCGAACTTAACCACTACGCCACGGGGCTGGCCCCTACTTACACATATTTTCTGTCGCTTATACTTCCCATCCTTTAGAATGTGAGTTCTGTGATGGCAGAGAGCTTTGCTTTGTGTAAGGATTATGCCTGGTGTCTAACCACGCCGGGCACGCAGGGGCACCAGTAAACACTTGTTGAATGAATGAACAAACAGCTAGGACTGAATGGGGATCAACTAGGCAAAGGTCTTCTCCAGTTCGGAGCCACTGACCCCTAAGAGCACTGGGTTGGGCCCCACAGGGCCCCTCAGGGAACTTCCCCACCCTGTTTTCAAGTCTCTAGCCAAGGCCAGGGCCATGTGGACATCATGCCTGGCTCCCTGCTGGGGGTATCTAGTAGGCCCTGCCTCAGCCTGAGGCGCCAGGACACCCAGCTCCTTGGCAAGGAAAATCCAAGAAAAATATTATTTACTAGAGTTAAATATTCCTGTGCCCAGATGTCCCTCTCGTCAAACCCTGGGAACACTGAGTCAGGTGTCTCGAGAGAAGGCTCCAGCGTGCTGAATTCCTGAAGGGTAGAGTCAGGTACCTAGCAGCTTCCCTGTCCCCACGCCCAGAGGAGCCTCTCCTAGCTCAAGAATTCACTGTGGTTCCTGGGAAGGGGAAGGAGCAGGTGACTCTTCAAAGTACCAGTCTCCTCTGAGAGGCAGGGTGAGGACGGGAGGTCACCCCAAAGGGAGCTGGGCACAGCCCCATGATGACAGGGCACAGGGAGGGGAGGGTCTCCTGGGGAACCCTCAGGAGCCAGGGCTGGAAAAGGGCAAGCAGTACTGGTGGCCCCACTGGGGGATGCCCATCTCCTGCCCCATACCCCACTTCTCCCTGCAAACTGCTCCTGCACCGGGGAAAACAAAGCTGCCAAACAGACCTGGCATGCCTCAACCCAGGAGGAGCCCTGATAGTAATATTGCCTGAAGGAGATAAGAAGGCTTCTCAGAGCTGAATACTCAGGATAAGTAAGTCCAGGCGGCCAGTGCTGCTCAAGGCAGCCAACCTAGGAGCAAGGATCATTGATTGGCCTCTTGGGCCTCCACCCTGGCCCCTAACTCAGGTGTCTCAACAGCTGCCTCTGACACATCGGGAAGGGCCAGGAAGGCTCACTAACCCTTCAGGAAACCCCACATTGCTCCTGGAGACTCTTGCCCTGGATGGTCAGTGTCTCCAATGGGTAGACAGGTGGTCAAAGACGGATGGCAGAGGCTCCAAACTTTCCAGCTCCATGCACCACTTTCTCTAGGGGAGAGAGGCTCCTGGGGCCAGGAAGTCCTGGCAGGAGAGGACACCCCTTTCCTAAATGAGGTTAAAAGGAAGCACTTATGAAGTTCCCAGAAAATTTCCTTAAGGACAGCAGAGCAGCACAGGAATGTGCTCCCCCCTAACAGGGTGCAGAGTGTATATAGCCAAGCCCTCCCCAGAGCAGATCCGACTCTACACCCCCTCCCTCCCAGGAAAGACCCCCGGCTGGAGTCTGGCCATCAGGCCTCACTCCTGGCTCTTTCAAGGAGCAAGGAAGTACCCAGGTCCCCTGAAACACAAGGTGAGGTTCGGAGAGGCCACTGTCCTCTACCTCTGCACCCCCTACTCTCAAGGAGCAACGTCCTTGTTTTAAAAGTTTTGACTTCCAGAGGCTTTCAAAAATCATGACCTCTTGGCTGATTTCTGGTCAGAGAAGCCAAATTCCCTCACAATCCATCAGGCACATCCAAAAGGCCCAGGCGTGTGCCCAAAGGCCTGAAAGTGACTATTCTTTTTATGCTTCATGGGGAAGAAGCTCACCCTCACCTGGTGCCAGCCGGCTAGGTGCCAGGCCACACGTATTCATGACAGTTTTCATCCTGTCAACGTCTGTAAAAACAAGGCTCGCTGAGGCTTGGCACGGTTAAGTGACTGAGCCAAGGTCATGCAGCAAGAAATCAGCAAGGCCCAATTCAAAGCTATACCTGATGTCTGGAAAGACACTAAAACATAATAAACTATGTTTGAGGAAAAAGACGATGAGGCCAGACAGAGAAGTTTTTTCCTCTTATTTTATAATTCCTAAATGTTTCCTTTTCCCTGCTATGGGCTCTATTAACTTTTTTATTTTTTAAACAAACAGGGGTCATCTGGGATTATAGGCCTTTTTTTCCTTTTAATGCAATTGTGTATTAAAAAGTTACTAAGTTATTAAAATTATATTAATCTGCCGTCGAAGGGGATACTCCATTGCCTCAAAAAACACTAGGGATGCAGAATGACCTCAGACCCTGGAAACACTATCTAGTGGGCCCCAAAGAGACTGGCCCAGTCTAACCAGAAAACAGGAGTGAGCCCTGGTCAGAGCCCCCGGAGCTGGGTCTGAGTCCTGACTGCCATAAGTGAGCACTGTGGGCACGAAAACCAAATCCGAATTCCCCGTCCATAAAATAAAGAAATTGGACCATATCTCCCAGGACCCTTCCCACGCCTCAGCTCACACAGACCCAGACTGTCTTCCTCAAGAGCCACTTCTGACCTTGGCTTTCCCTGTGCTGGGCCACAGCTCTTCTACACTGCTGCCCTGTTCTTCCCACCTGGGGCTTCTCGTCTCGCCGACACACTCATTCCCTCCCAGTTCCCCTCCTCTGCAGCCTGACAGAACCTTCAGTCAAAAACTCTGCAGAGGGTCCCTAGAGCCCAGGTTAAGCTGCCCTGCATCTGGCACATGGATTCCCATGGGAAGGGGCGCTGAGTCGCGGCCCCGCCCACCTCACCCAAAGCTCACCTGTCTCAGATGAGAGCCTCAGGGGGCCACACCACAGCTCCCCTGGTTACAGTCAATTCTCCCCACAGCCAAAGCTCAGTGTGTCCACCAACGGTCCAGCAGGAGCAAACCAAGAGCAGACTTTGCACACTTTCTTGGCAAGACAGAATTTTCTACTCCTCGCCAAGTCCCAACGTACCACAACGCAACTCCGCCTCTGTTGTCGTGGAAAATAGACTGGGGTCTCCATACCGTCCCCTAAGGTGTCCGAAGCCGCCCGAGGCGGAGAAAGGACCCGAGACCGAAGTCCCTCCCGCGGGCTTCCTGCGTCCGAGGATTAGGAGGCACAAAAGGCCGCCAGGGAGAGGGCCCAGATGGCAGGGGCAGGGACTAAGCCGCCGAGGTAACGCGCTCCTGCCACTGCTCGCTGAGAGAGGGCCACTGGAGACGTGCGCCGCCGGCCTCCCCGGCCAGGCGCCTTGCACTTGGCGCCCGCGGCCCAGGGACCGCGTCTCCGCCCGCAGTGACCCCCGTACACAGCCGGGCCGAGCACCTGTTTCCCTGCTCCCCAAAGCCAACACTGTTGTTCAAACGCGAACTCCTAATTCTGTAAACACGGGCGGATCGGGCAGAGAAAAGTTTCCAGCTGCACTTTGCACAGGTGTCTTTCTCCCAGACAAGAGGAGCGACGGGATCCAGGGCGGCGGGCTGACCTGGGCGCAGCCCTCCCCGACAGACCCGGGGAAGCCGGGAGTCCTGGCCCTCTCCTGCCTCTCCGCCCCCAGTGGCGGGCGTCCTGAAGGGCGGGCCCGGCTAGGTGGGTCCCGGCCCGCGCCTCACCTGGAACCCCAGGCCGGCCCCCGCCCGAGGCCTCGGCGTCCCTCGGCGCCCGCCGCCGGCTCCGCTCACTCAGCCGCCGGCCCACGGGCTGCTGGGCGGCTGTCTCCTTCCTGCTCACCTCCGGCGCGGCGAACGGGGGGCGGGGCCGCCGCTATTTACATAAAGGGCGAGCCGGCCGGAGCCGCGGAACCCCGCGCGCCAGCCCCAGGGGCCCGCCTCCGGCCCCGCCCCGGCCGCGCCCCCCGCAGCCCTACGCAGACCGGGCGGGGGCGCAGCGAGGGCGCAGCTAGGGCGCGCTCGGGGGGCGAGGGCCGCGCTCGGGCCAATCCGCGGCCCTGAGGAGCGCGGGGGCGGGGCCGCGGCCCGCGTGAATATGCACGAGGCGCTGCCGCCCCGCCCCCGGCCTCACCTGCGCGCACCTGGCCGCAGTACCGTGCGCCGCGCCCAGTGTCCCGCCGCCTCCCGGATAAGTAAATAGTTCCCGGAACGCGCGGGTTCCGGGGCCACCTCCCAGGCCGACTGCAGAGGGGAGCCGTCCCTCCCACAACCCGGCCCCTAGCTGCTGAGGGAGGGGCATAGCCCGGCTGGCTTTTCCTGAGCGCACTCAACCCAATCAGAGAGGGTAACAGGCAGACACAGGGCTAGGTTTCGGGACCCAAGAGCCAGAAGCGGCATGGGGACGAGCGCGTCGCCCGAAGGCGCCTCCCATCGCAGCGAGCCCCAAGCCTGGAATCCCCGCCGCCGACTTGCTGCTGAGGCAGGCAGGCGCCCGAGGCCCCGAGGGACAGCAACAGCGACCGGAGTTTTTAGAACAAGGGAGAGGGTTGGAGCGACGAGAGGCGGGAGCGGAAGGCGCGCGGAAACCCAGCCCGAGGCCCGGGGCGTGAATGGCGCGCTCCACCTCACAGCTCCAAGCGACTAAGATTCAAGCCACATCGACCTGGCCCCTCTCGGACGCTCTTCTGCTCGGACCCGGCTGCGTTCAAGGAAGGTCCGATGGAGCGCCGGCTCCCCTCCTCGGACTGCCCTTCAGAAAGCCAAGCTGACTAGAGGTCTGTGACTTCCCACCCCCTCCGGCGCAGGCCCTGAGAAAAGTACAGAATTTCGTCCCTGCCCTCCCGCGAGCTTCTTTTAGGTCCCAAACCGAGACAGCAGCGCTCTCTGTGGGTGAGCAAAGCAAGGGTGAGGGCTTGGGGGTCAGTTCCACGGACAACCGGATGGGGGGGAGGTCCTGCACTCCCAGAGTGGGGCTGGGGAACTTGTTCACTGTATCCAGCCAGCAGAAAAAGCATCTATTTTTTAATGGCTTTGGCTTTATTGTATGAAGCAGGCACCCTCTCATTTAAAGGCACAGAGTCCTCTCTTCTGCCCCACCTCTCTGGGTCTCCAAAATCTAGTCCTGGGTTCCAGAAGGATCACTGCAAGGCAGCAATCTCAGGCCTGGGGCTTGGAAGCACGGCAGCAGCCAGGTGTGGGGCACAGCTTCACTCTCCTGCAAGCATCTGACACCCAGGGCCACGGCCCAGACTAGCCCCTGCAGGTACAGGTCAGAGTCTCGGTGAAGGAGGCAGCTGAGATGGTCCCTGAGAGTAGACAGTCCAGGTCCCCCAGAGCAAGCCCCAGGCCCTGCCAGGGCTGGGTGGTCAGTGCTCCAGATCCCTGGGTAGTGTGAAGTCCCTGAAGCTGTAGAAGGAGATGTCTCCGTGATCCACCAGGGCAAAGATCAGAGGAACATCCCCACTCTGGTAGGACAACCGCTTGAGGGTGCAGAGGTCTGGGACTGGCTCATCAAACCTGCAGGGATAAAGGTTAGACTGAGACCCGGACATAGACCCCCGCCATGAGCTTCGAGACCCCAGCCCTCTGAGGCTCCCAGGGTAGGGAGACTGTGAGACATGAGTTGAGGTACAAGAAGTCTAGCCCCTGGGCTCTCCTGGGTAAGGGGACTAGGAAGTGAGGTTCTCATCACTCTCAACCTTTAAGTCCCTCCAATTCACATCCTTCTGCTGGGGGAGCCCAGGACTAACGTGGCACAGGAGAGAGAGGACCCGAAAATGCCAGGAATGAGAGCTGAAGACTGGGAGGCTTGGGTTCGCCTAGTACTAACTGGCTGTGTGGCCTCAGATTGGTCACATAATCTCTCTGCACCTCTGGTTCCTCTCAGGGATTGGCAAACTGGCCAGGGGTGTGGCAACAGGGAACACCTGGTTCACAAGAGGACTGGCAGAAGCCTAGGGGTATCGCTCGCTGGTCTCATACCCACTAATGCACATCCGGGCATGGGGCTTGCCAGGGTTATTCTTTCGGAACGAGGCCACAGCGTCAGCCTGGTAAACATCAAAGCTGATCTCCAAGTCCCCAGACTTCTCCAGCAGCCTGAGGACAGAGTGAGAAACCTTAGGAAGCAGGGACTCTCCTCCTCTACCGTTTCTTTCCATGCCACCTTTTCCTTCCCCTGAACTGAGGTCCTGCTGTGAGGTGCCACTTGAGGGACAAGGGGAGGCTAGGCTGCCTATCTCAGAACCCTGGGATAATCAACCTCTTGTCTCTCACTCATCCTTCTCCCCTACACACACATAAATATTAGCCAAGGTAGGGACCCTGGAATGACCCCCCAGCTCATGCCCAACTTAAGGAGTCAAATCCCAGCTGCCAGCCAAAGTACTGGGGAGACGGCACTACCTAGAAACTCACCAGGCACCTCCATCAGCAAGGTGTGTCATCTGCAGCACAGAGATATGCTGAAGGACTGTGGCTACAAGGAGAGTGAGAACAGGGCATTGGGGAGGGGAGTTGGCCATCTACAGACTCCCCTGATATTTCTGAATCTGCCACCTAGCTTAGGGTTGTCAGATTTAGCAGATTTTTTTTTTGGTACAGGTGTGTCCCATGCAATATTTGGAACATACTTACATTAAAAAAATTAGCTTTTTATCTGAAATTCAAATTTAACCTACGTGGCAAACCAAATCTAGTCACTTACAATCTACCATGTTCCCATAAGGATTCTAAGTAGCTCTGAATCGTTAACACCATTCTTGCCCTGAGTTCCCTATTCTTAACATGCAGGGCATACAGCAAGCCTTCCTTTTATTTGGCCAACATATCACCTCCGTGTTCCCCTCTAAGAGTCAGGAAAACAGGGGGTCACAGCTAGTTGGTGGCAGAGCCATCCACACGCATTTGTTTAGTTTTGGTTCCTCCTTGCCTCTCCTTGGGCACTGACTCGCCATTTCTCAACCTTCCCACATGGGTGCTTTTGTTGTTCCCAGGAGAACAGACTGTTCTTGTGGGTTCCACTCCACTAGCCAGCTCTCTCCTCCCCCATCTTTCTTAAGCCTTAAGCAGTCGTGGGTCATCTGTGCCCCTTTCAAAGTCTTATGATTCCTCAGCTGCCAGTGGCCCGCGGGGCTGTGACAGAGTGATGGGGTACCTGGGGAGTCTGCCTGGCCAGGACTCAGCAAGGGGGTGACAGGCTGGTCCCACAGGTGTGGGGAGCGGCTCTGGGTCTTCTGCAGGTGCCGCCTCTGCAGCAGCTGCTTGTACTCCTGCCAGCTGGAGCAGCACTGCACCTCGGGATCCGAGTTTACATCCTCCCAGAAGTACTGGGCCTCTGCCTGTCGCTCCCGTTCCCGCCTGGAGAGCTTTTCCTTCCGCTGGTTCAGCTTCTGGCACCAGGACTTGGCGTCTGTCTCCCGCCCAGTGACGTTAGCTGGGAGCAGCTCTGGGGCTGGGGCAAGCAGGAGGGTGTGGCGGCTATCTGAAGCCACGTTGGGGAAGGAGATCTGCTCAAAGTTCCAGCGTGGCTTATAAGTCCCCTGGACTCCATTCTCTACTTTGCCACTCTCCTGTCTGCACCCCACCCCCTCCCCCAGAAGCTGAAAGGGGGCTGCTGGGCCCTTTACGGGGCTTGACTCCTGGGATTTCTCCTCTGGGCATCGGCTGTTCTGGTTGCAGGGAGGTGGGCTGGAGGTTGCCAGGCTCTCAGGTGTCCCATCCACCCCCTGCAGGGGGTTCTCCAGGGCCTTGGGCTTCTTATTAATGGACCTGAGGGGCGTGGGAGGAAATGCAGCAAATCTGCTCCTGATTGCTGAGGTGCACACGTCCCACATGTGCCCTACTGCCTCCTGGAGCCTACATGGGAGCTGCCCGAGCCCAGCTCTTACGCCCATGCATTCTCCAAGGTCCCAAACACCAGCACTCCCTCAACAGCTCTGCCCTCTAGAACTCCCTGGGGGCCAGCCATGTGGGTAGCATTACCGAGAGCTGGCGCTCCTCTTCCTCTTGCCATGCCAATCCGCCAAGTGCTGGGCACTGCCATCCAAGTTCAGCTGCCTCTCGTAAGGGGACAGGACGGAGCTGTGGGGTGAGAATGGGGCAGGCAACTGATCCACCTCCTCAGCCTGGTGCTCCCAGTGGAATTTGTGAGGGACTGGCCCAGAAGACAAGTCAGTGGGCCAGGGTCAGAGTCACATCCAAGGGCTGAGGCCCCAGAGAGACCTGCACTTGGGGTACATGGAGGCAGCCACAGGGACCTGACCATGTGTCTTTAACTAGGCCTCTGAGTCTCATCCATGGCACATTTGAACAAAGGCTCACTGGAACCGGGGCTCCTGCAGAGCCAGCAATAAATGATCAATCACTGGTGAGAAAAATCAAGAGGACTAGAAAACTTAGATAATACAGGAAAATAAAAATGAAAATAAAACCCACGGATACCACTGTAACATTTTAGTTTCTTATAAACACATACAGTCTCTTCTCTCCATGTTTTTTTATATCCGAAGTGACATCGTACTAACACACTACTGTGTGATATTTTTTTTTCACTCAATAATATATTATGGACATGGCCCCTTACCACTACAGCACTCCTCCCTGCCATGATTTTCTTATGGCTCTAAAGCTGCATTGTCCAATATGGTATCCACTAGACATGAGGGGCTATTTAAGTTAAACTTAAATTCACTAAAATTAAAAATTCAGTCCCATAGTTGCAAAAGCCACATATATTGGATAGCACAGACATAGAACATTTTCATCACTACAGAAAGTTCTATTGGACAGTGCTGCCCTAAGGGATAAACTCTAATTTGTGTGACCATGCCTTCCCTGTTGGACTCATAGGATGTTTTCAAGTTCACTAATTTTGCAGAGTGATGGTGTTTTGTGCAAGCTCGGGCAGGGGGAGGCAGTGATTTTGCTCTCTGCTGTTCCTCAGCAACGAGCACAGGGCCTGGCACCCAGTAAGTGGTCAACAAATATTGCTGAATGAATGCATGAACATTTTCACAGGTGAACTTAACGCACACATCTGTGACTATCTCCTTAGGATATATTCTACTTTCAGGAATTACAGGATGTGCCTGTTCTTGAGCTTTTGTGACATCCTATGAAACTGCAAAGGCTGTACCCATTTCTACTCCAAGTGCCTCTTAACAATGCTGGATTACTAAGGTGATGATCTTCAGAGGCCCCAGAAGGAAAGAACATCTATCCCAGCAACAGGGATGTGAAACCCTACACAACTGTTAGTTCCTCACTCAGTCCTTCATTCGTGCATGCACTCAACAAATCTGCCTGCCACCTACTACGTGCCAAGCGCTGTTCCAGTGCGGCATCTCCATGCTCACAGTGAGCTGTAGGTGCTCAGTCGTTACGTGTGGAGTGAACGGGCTAAAGATGGGTCTCAATTAGATAACCCAGCACAAGCTGAAATGACCCAGATTCATCCCAATACACCTCTCAATAGAGCACTTCCAGCAGAGGGCCCCAGTCCATGTCCAGGGAGCTGTGGCTCCAGCCAAGGACTCCGGGTGAGGAGAGGCCACTTTCCACTTTGGGGCTAGTCAGCCAGGTCCCAGGACTAGAACAAATGAGAGGGAAATGGGATAGGGATTTACCTTGGTTGGAATCGTCGAACTACATAGCCCAGTCTCTTCAGGTGGCTGAAGACCTCAGAAGAAAAACAGTAAAGGTCAGACGTCCAAACAGTTTCTCCAGACAGAAGCCATTCCCCATGCCCCCTCCCCTGCCCCTCCTGCACACCCCCAGATTCCAAACCCAGGGACTGGTTAGACCATACTCCATTATAAATACTCTCCCCAAACTATGTATGGTCTCAGTATGAATCCCTGTCTCTCAGTTACCTTACTGTGGGCACAAATGACATTTAGTGGTTTCTTGATTTAAAAACAAATCCAAAAAAGCTGATAGCCGATGGACCAAGAAAAGAACTATACCCCAGAATATTCTGATATCAAAGCAGACAAGAGTGAAGCTTCAGACTACAATATGAACAAGAAGATGGCAGGCGGTAGACATCCCCCTCCCCCGCCCCTCCACAGATATGGGTGGGGTGAGCTGTCTCTGGTAAAGAGCCACATGTTCATCCATGTATCCCTGTATTCATATCAGATATTAGAAAGACATATACAGGAATGTCCCCCATCCTGCTTGATCTTTCAGCAGCCTTCAACATGGCTGACCACTTCTTCCTTGAAAGATCTTCTCTTGGCTTCTGTGACACCACCTCTCCTGGTTCATCTCCTGCATTACTCCTCAGTCTCTGTTTCTGGTTCCTTATCTTCCCCTGACCTTCTCATATTGGAGTGTACCAGGTTCATTTGCTTGCTTACTTATTATCCATCTCTAGGATGTAAGCACCATGACAGCAGAGCCCTTGTCTGTCTTGTACCCCTAGCACATGGGTCTGTGTCTAGCACCTCACAGGTTCTTAGAAATACTCATTGATTCAGCTGATGGGTGGCTCCTCTCTTGGGAGAAAGTGGCAGATACCTGGTACTGCAGGAAAGTAACGGTGTCCTCAGTGAGCAGCAGCTGGTAGGCCTCCTGGATAGACAGCGGCAGGTCTTGGTGGAAGAGCTGGATGGAGCCCTGGAAGTGGGGCCAACAGCTCAACTTGTAAGCCCTCCCTGCAGTGGCACAGCCAATGGGGCAACTTCCCCCCAGATCATAGCAAGAATATGGCCAACCAGGAAGGGGAGGGGAACACCACTAATATGGACTGGAATCTCTGCTTCCTGCACAGTATTCTTGTTTCCTTCTCTAGAAGTGAGGTTACAAGCTCCCTGAATGCTCAGTTGTGTATACTTTTTCTCCAATAAAAACATGTCCTTCTGGTTCCTTGGTCCCAACCCTTTTCCCACCCTCCCAGAGCCTCACTCACACACTCCAGCAGATACAAGGCCTCCTCGGGGTGAAGCCGCTGCCGGCCCTGCTCTGAGAAGCCCATGGTCTGCCAGAATTTACCCTGAGGGACCCAGAGCAAATGTCACAAAAGAGCCAGAAGGGCAGAGAAGGCGGGTCCCCTGTCCCTGAGCCCCACCGCTCACCGCAGGAGACTTCAACTCCACGAACCCCTCTTCCGGTCTCCACTCGGCGGTCACCAAGCTGCCCCTGGCGAGGAGTGGGGAGGGCTCTGTCTCAGTCTACCCGAGAAGTCTATGGGGTCCGCCCGTCCCGCCGACCCCGGGCCCACCCCGCTCACAGGCGCTCCACGCGCTCCTCGGCCAGCAGCTGCCAGAGCTCCTCGCGGCACACGCGCAGCCGCTCGGCCTGGTCCGCCGAGCCGTCGGGGAGGAAGTCCTTGGGGCCACGCGAGCGCTGGGGAAGCTTCTGGGACCGCGAGCGGGCGGCGAGGAGCTCCCGGGCGCTGGGGAAGGGGGAGACGCGGGATCAGCACCATGCAGTCGGGGCCGCCCGGCCCGGTCCCGGACCCCCGTCCCCTTCACCGCGTTCCCCCCGCGGTCCCCGTGCCTCCTCCGGGCCGCGCCGCACCTGAGCACGCGCCCGGCAGGAACCTCTACGGCGGCGGGCTCAGGTTCGGGCTCCATCGGGCCGCCTTCTGCGGCTGCGCGCGCTCGCACCGCTCATGCCCCGCCCACCGCCGGAACTCCGCCGGAACTCCGCCAGGCCCTAGCGCCGGAGGATCCGACCTCCGCTTCTCCGGTCCCCGGATCAACCCACCCGCTTTCCGCCTTCCTGGCTGTCTTGGGTCCTAGTGCCTGCCAACAAACGTGTGCCTCGATTGGGGGCAGAGTTTGCACGTTTCTGAATTTATAGGAGCTCCCCCTCCTGTCCCCAGCCCTCCTCTGGGCTCCTCCCTAGTAAAACCTGAGGAACCCGGCGTCATGAATAGTCAAATGCGTGACCCTCCCCTCTGCATCCCTGGCCTGCTTTAGTCCCCACCACCCAAGGTGGAAGAGGAAGGAAGGAGAGTGGGCTTAGAATTTGGGCTCTTCCCAAATTCCAGCTTCGCAAACTGAAGGCCACCGGGGGCTGTCAGGTGCAGTCTGGGGAGATTCAGAGTTCCTTCAGGGTCTTCCGTTGGGTCCCTTCCGACGGGCTTGGAAGCCAGATTCCGAGGGCCAGGGGCGGCAGGCGCTGTCCGGCCCACGACGGTGCTGAAGCGCCACCCCAGCCCTCTATTAGCACCTCCTCGAGGCTGGGGTCCCCGCCGCCGCCACCATGGGCCGCTCCGACACTGTCCGCTAGGTGGCACCATTGCTCTGACCAGCAGCTGTGGGTCGGCGACTCTGGCCGCGGGCGGAGGTCGCTGAGGGAGTCCCAGGAGGGGCGAGGGGCTAAGAAGAAGAGGGACTTCCCAAGTGAGGTCCCGGGGTCTCAGTTCCCAAACCCCTTGACATCACGTGTTCTCTCCCACCCAGTCACACCCAGGGTATCTCTCCCTCGGGTCTGAACTCTACAGCCGCAGGTCGCCCCGGCTCTCACCTCCAGGACAGCGGCGCGCATTCTCGCCCCAACCCCACCCCCTCGCTCCACCTGGGCGCATGCGCTGACAGGGCAGCGTCCCTGGTCCGGTCGACAGCGATGGGGGCGGGGCCTGGCTCGGATGGAGGCGGGGCCGCAAGCGCTGACTGACAGCCCGACTGCGCGGCCGGGACGGTCCCTCCGCTCCCGATCCGGCGGGAGGGAGGGGGGAGGGGCGGGATTTCCTGCGGGAGGCGCCGAGCCGGCCTTGGAAAAGGAGGAGAAGGAGGAGAAAGGGGGCAAGGGGGCCAGTGGGAGCCACCGTCCAGAGTGCCAGGGGCCGAGCAGGGCCAGCCGGACCCCCGGCGGGGCGGCTGCGAGAGGTGAGACTGCGGGGCCTGAGCAGGGGATCAGAACCCTTGAGGGCGGGCACAAACTAACTTTTCTTGCGGGATCGGCGGGCGCCTCCATCTCTCTGCTTCTTCCGTCCTCCTCGCGCCCCCTTATTCCGTCCTCCCGCATCAATCCCTCTGGCGCTTGGCCCTCCCGGTCTCTCCTGCCGCTTTGTTCCCCCGCTCGGCCTGGGCTGGGCTGGGTTGGGGGGTTGCGCGGCGCGGGACTGGCATTCCGGGGGGCGGGGGAGCCAGCCCGACCCCAGGCTCTGCCAGGGGCGCCCTCCCCCAATGTCGGCCGCGGGCCATGAGCAGGAGTGCCATCTGGATTGGGCTTGAGACGTTTTGGGAGTGAGGGGTCCCCAACCAGGGCCCCAGGCCTGTACGGGGCTCATGCCATAGGACTGGGGCAACAAATTTGCGGCCACTGAGGAACTGACGTAAGCTTTTCTGCAGTGAAGACTAGGGTCTGGGCCTCTGGTTCAGGCTTGGGGGGGCCAGGCGGCCCCATTTGCTAGCAGTATTCCAGCTCTTGTCCCTGTTCTCTGCCCAGCTGCTTCCCCATCCCATGAGAGGGGTGAGGATGGGTCAGCAACAGGTGCTGTAAAGCCTCCTTGTCCAGCAGGCAGATCCCCGCCAGAAATGGGGGGACATAAGCTCCCCACTCCACCCTCTGGGTTCATAAAGAGCCCGGGGGCTAGGACATCCAGCTATTCTAGTAAAGCTCAGGTAGGGAGGAGTCTGGGGTCAGGCACTTTCCACAGGGAGTGACCCCTGCCTGGCTGCCTATGCCTGACCCTCCCAGGCCCCACCTCCTGGCCTGCCAGTTGTCTGTGGGTGTCAGAGCCCCAGGCTGTGGAGAACAGGCTGCTCCCGGCCTGCCCCAGTGCGTAGTGCTGCCAGGGCCCCTCCTGCCCCAGGTTGAGGTGCTGCCAGGTGCCCTGGAGCCTCAGTGACTCAGCCTCCCCCTCCCAGAACAGCCCCCCCTTCAAATACTCCTCTCACGCATGGTGGCTCCCTCCACTCTTTTGAGTGGCTCAGCCTCTCCCTTCACTCTAAAGGGCAGCCAGGGGGGCTTGGGGGCTCCCTGGAGGCCCTGTCCTGCCCTTCCTCTGAGCCCTGCTTCTGGGACCCTTGCAGGCTCTGGCCCAGCCTTCAGCAGGGGCGCCGCACCTTTTCCAGACCCCTGAGACCTGTTCGCTGCTGCTGCCCAAGGCCCGAGGGAATGCTGGCTGCTCTCTGGGTGGGCACTGGTGCTCCTGATCCACACTGGGAAGATTGGTGTGCCCAGTCCCGGCGTATCCTGGGGCCGTTGGAAGCTGCAAGTTGATATCGGTCCAGATTTCCACGCGGCCTCCCCCCACCCAGAGATCGGCTTTCCTGCCTGTGGCAGCAGCTCACAAAGCACCTTGAGGGAGTACCCATCAGCGCCTGACAAGGAGTCCCCTGCCTGGGACACCCGACGCGCACCCCTGGGACCCCTGGCCCTCCAAAGGGCCAAGGAATGGCGCCCTGACACCTCGGCTTAGACCAATTTCCCTGCCTCTGCCCTGGACTCCTGAGCTTAGAGCCCAACCCAGGGACCAGAATGGGTCGTGAACAGGACCTGATCCTCGCTGTCAAGAATGGAGATGTGACTGGTGTGCAGAAACTGGTGGCTAAGGTCAAGGCTGCAAAAACAAGTGAGTACTTGGTGGGGTGACTGTCCAGCTGAGACCCTTCCCTGAGTGCTTAGGCCAAAGAAAGAGTCTTGGGGTTCACTGTGATCTGGGGACTTGGGGTGGGAGGACTGTCTGGTTCTGTACAAGTGCCTGTTGTGGGAGAGCCAGACGGGAAGTTGGGTCCCCCTTGCTGTGCATCCTTAGGGAATCATTTAACCTCTCTGGGCCTCATTTTCCTCACCTGTAAAGTAAAAGGGTTGAAGTGCATTCATTCAAATTTTTATTGAGTACCTATTGTGTGCCAGGCACTGTTCTAAGCACTGGGCCACAGCTTTGAATAAAACAGACCAAAACTCCTGCTCCTGGGGTTGTCATCTAGCAGGTGGTTTTCCAGATATATTCTGTGGAGCCATGGGGTTTCTGGCAGTCGATTGGGAAAGACTGAACAGGTAGAGCTCCATCCGCCACCCCACCCCCACCCCAACCAGAGCACCTCTGCATTTATGTCTTAGCTTAGTGGGTTTGCCTGTAAGATAGCTCTAAAGAGAGAGTTCTACTGCTTTAAGACAAAGCTCAACACTATCTGACTGCTTGCTAAAGTCCCTTTCCCCCTGACCTATCTGACCATGTCCTCTGGGGTGGGGTGTGTAGCCAAAGCTAATTTTCTGGAGGTTTCTCTGCAGCCTGGGGCTCTGGTCTTGACAGGGTTGTGGGGGCTTCGTGCATGGGTGGCCACAGCTGAGCCCCATCTCTTGGGCACCTCTGTGGTGAGACCCCCAAGGACAGTAGACCTCTGGACTTCAGGGCAAGCTCTCCAGGCCGACCCAGGAGGACACTGGACTTGTCCCCTTGAGTTCCTAGACCAGGAGGTGGCTCCTGCATCACACTGTGCAAGTCCCCTTGGGCGCTAGGGGAGGAAGGGTTCCCCCGGAGTGCTGGGGCTCTAGCCCCAAGACACACCTTGGTCTTGTGCAAGGAAAAGAGTCCTCCAGGCTACCTGAAGACTTCCAGTTATCCTCACCCACACCTGCGAGTGTGCGGTGCCGGAGGGAAGGATTTTAAGGGCCCGGGAGACAGAGGCTCCCATTTGCGCACCAGGGCAGAGACTCAGGGTACAGGGAGAGGGAGCTATGGTGAGTGGTCTCTGTGCCCTGGGGAAGTGTATACAGGGTGAGCGCATTGAGGGGGAAGGTGCTAAGGAGGTCCCATGGGAGGGCCCTGGAGGCCCAAGAGTGGGAACCACTCCCCCACTTCCCCTCACCTCTGTGTTGTTTTTGGCGACCTGCCCAATGGGGCCTTGGTTGAGCTGCTGCTGGCCTCACAGCCCTGCGGCCTCAAAGTGAGGCCCTCAGGAGGGCAAGCGGGTGGGGTCTGGAGGCTGGTGGCGGGAACTTCGCAGTCAGGCTCCTAGGCTCGGGAAGGTCCCCTGTGCCTAGGGGTAAATGTCTCTGGGGGAAGCTGTTCCTTCCCCAGCCTCCAAGGGGATTTGCACAGAGTGTAGGCACAGGCACAGAGTGACAGGGTCCTGGGAAAGCTGGTGACAAAGAGGAGATCACAAGTGACATTTGCAGACCCTATAGTTTATGAAATATTGTAATCTCTTCAATTCTCTGTGAGATGGGCATTTCTATATCTACTTTACAGATGAAGAAACTGACACTCAGAGAAGGTTAGTGATTTGCCCAAGGTCACACAGCCATTGTGTGGCAGATCAGAGACAAGCCTGTGCCTCTGCCCTGTGCCCTTACACTTGGCTGCCCACCAGGATTACCTAGGGATTGTTCTGAAAGTGCAGACTCCCTGGTCTTCCCCCAGAATTGGAGTCATCAGAGAGAGCCTGGGACTCTGCCAAATCAACAGTTCTCCAGGTGATTCTAAAGCAGTTCTCAGAGGGAAGCTAGGAACTCCTGCTCTATACCACACAGAGGCAAAGGAAACTGCCGGAAGGGAGGCGTCAGGGCTCCCCTTTTTCCTCTGGGGGTGGCTGGAGCTTTCTGGCTATCCAAAGAGAGATGCTCCCTCAGCCTCTTCCATTTGAAGTCTGGTCAATGGGGACTGGCATTCCTTGCCCACCCAGGTC